CCTGCCCGCAGCCTGTGCCACCCCCGGCCGGTGCCAAGGCTGTGCTCTCTTGCCTCGGAGCTGTCCCTGGGCTCTCACCCGGAGCCTCTCATGTGCAGCTCCACCGTTCAGCTTTGCTGTGCTTACCCAAAGCTGTTCTCCAGAACAACAACGAACAAAAACAAAAAGCATAAATAGACTATAACAATGCGCTTTTTACATGACTGCGTTGTCAGTATCCAAACCCACTGATGGTCGTGTCTGAGCTCTCTCTGCTGTTTTTTCCTCTCTGTTTTAATTGCAAAGATTTGGGGTTAAAGCTTTCCTTTTATCCTACTGCAATCAGCATTTTTGTGTTTTGTTTGTCTAACAGATGGTGATGATGAAGATGATGATGATGAAGATTGTTGTGCTGAAATGGTAATTGTTTTTTCTTTAAGTATGCATTTCCAGTTTTGAAGGGAAACCTCACCCTGCTCTGGGGAAATCCAGGCAGTTGCCTTGGCTTTGTGCTCAGTAAAACCTGGATTTGGGTATTCCTGCCCAGGATTTGTTATCCAGGCTCAGAGGCCTCCCTGCAAACCCCTCAGCACTGAGGAAGGGCTGAGTTACAGCACTGCTTGTTACAGACCTCCTTTTGTCTTTTTTCTCCCTAAATACCTTCTCTGCCTCTAGGAAGTGGAAGTGGAAGAAGACAGCAGTGATGATGATGATGATGATGTTGAAAGCCTGCCCCAGGATCCAGAAACCTGCCTGCAGATGAACCATGTGTACCAGGATGTTATCAAGGAAAAGATTGAGGAGGTGGAGCTGCTCATTGCACAGAACAGAGCACAGCAGGTGAGCACAGCAGCAGGGAAATGCTCATTCCTGTGCTTTTCTGGGTTCCCATTTGCCTTCCTTCCTTCCCCTCAAGCCCAGGGCTGAGGTGGTTTATTTAACTGATGATTCCATGCTTCCTTACAATAAAAAAGGTTATTTTACATATTATATTTTAGCTTGCTGTGGCAAGTTATTATTTTATTAAGCTTATAATCATCTGCACAGTGCTCAGCAAGTTCCAAATGCTGCCTTTGACTCCTGCAGTGATTTTGAATCTGGTGCTGCAGGTTTGAGCCCTGCCTGGGGTGTTTGTGAGGGCTCAGCTCTCTGAAATCAGCACTTTGGGGGAGACACTGATGCTGTTCAATTCATTCTTGTGTTGCAGAAGGAAATCATGGATGAGCGTGATGGTTCAAAAACAACCAAGGCAGGAGATGGCAGAAATCTCCCAGCAAATGTGTTTTTGGGTCATTTTATGAAGCCATACTTTAAGGATAAAATAACAGGAATTGTAAGTAAATCAAAGCAGCTTGCAGACTGGTGTGTGTTCAGTGATGGTTGTACTGGAATGTGTTTGAACTGTTCTCATTTCAGGTGTGGAACTGACTGTCACTCCTCAGCCTGAAACCTTTCCCCTCTCACTTGTCACTCTCCCTCTTTTGGAAATGTTTGTTCAGCCCTGGGAGGTCTGAGGAGTGGAATTGTTATTGGGTTTAACTTAACTTTAATTGTCTTCATTTCCATGACCCAATTCCATGCTGCTCTTTAAAGCCCTCACTGAAATTTGATCTGATTGTCTGTGAAACTGAGTTTTCTCAGTTCCTGAGATTTTCTGTATTTTTTAATATTTTCTGGAACAATCAGTAGTACATTTTCATGTGTTTTTAAAAGGCCATCAGCAAAAGGAGATCTTGGCTTTTTGTGGTAGCCAAGATGTCAGCTATCATCATCCATATATTAATATATTCAAGCAATTACTGGTAATATTTCTGTTTAACTAAATGAAACCTGTGAGCTCTTGCTAACAAAGGTAGCTAAGCAGTGGGAGTGTGACAGTTTGCACAAGTCTGAGTTTCCAGTTATTGTAGTAGCAGTTCATGCTGGAGTTTTAAGAAGAAACAGTCATTTTGTGACTCTGAGTGTATCTAACCCTTCTAATCCTCCTCAGGGCCCTCCTCCCAATGAAGAGGCCAAGGAAAAGGCAGCTCAGGGCATCAAATCCTTTGAACAGCTGCATTCATCCAAGTGTAAGTAAGTCTGGCTGCTGTTCAGTGCTCTAGAAGAGCTGTAATATGTTTATATTTATATAACAAATTTATATATTCGTATTGTTTGTGTGTTCCTGTTTGCAGTTAAACATCAGCACCTCTGCCTGACTCACAAAAAGTTGTTAGAAGGGAGTGGGGTGCTCTGTAAATAATTTCAGTGAGTCATTAATGACTCCTTTTCCATTTGTTGTGCTGATCAGCTCCTGTGAGCACTCCTAAAGCAAGGAAGGTGCTGCAGGGTGCCCACATGAGGGCAGTTCAGGGGACACCTGCAGCTCCTGATGCTCACAGGGTGATTCCTTTCTTGGGGTCCCTTGGGGGGTCCCAGTAACACCGAGCCAGAGGCTGTGCCCTGCCCAGGTCTGGCACCACGTGGGTGATTTGTGCAGGGAGCTCTCACTGCAGAGCTGCAGGAATTCCCTGGAGCACTGGCTGTCTCCTGGCAGTGTTCTGCACTGATTGTGGCTGCTCCCTGTCTGCTTTAGGGAAAGCTGCAGAGAAGACTCTGCTGCAGAAATCCGTGGTGAGCGACCGCCTGCAGCGCCTGCTCCAGCCAAAGCTGCTCAAGTGAGTTCTGCCCCAAATCCCCTCTGCTCCTGCTCAGAACACTGCAGGGCGAAGGAGAAGGGACATGTGCAGATTTCCCCTTCCTCCAGCAAGTTCCTGTGTTAATTACTTGTGTTTGTGGGATTTTACCATCTATTCTTCCCCTTGGCACTGTGGTGTAACTTAAAATACTTTGCAGGGCTTGGAGCTGAAATTGTGATATGAGGCCTAAAGGTGTGGATTTCTGTGCTGGAGCTGGCACAGTCTGTGTGGCTGTTGCAGCAACCATTGGTTCTCTGTGTAAACACCAAAATGGTTTATCTGAAACCTGCTGTGGGTCAGGGTTTGCACTGAAGGGGCAGAAATATGGCAATGAGTGTGCCTTGTGGGAAACCCTGGGAGAACAGTTTGGTGTGGAAATAAACCTGAAGGGAGGAATGGAGCCGATGGGGAAGGTGTCTCTGCTGTACATCTTCTGATGCCATTGACCCCATTCCCATCTGTCCTCTTAAGCAGTGATAAAAATGTCTTTGAACAGGTTGAGTTATTGGAATCAGAAACTGGAGAAAATCAAGACTGAAACAGAAAAAGAGACCTTGGAAAAGCAAATCAAAGACTTGGAGCAAGAAATAGAGGCAATTAAGTAAGAAGTCTTTCTATGTTCTTGGTGAAAAATGAAATGTCTTGGAGTCTAGCTGTAAATGTTCTCTCCTTCTACTTCTGGATAGTCATTTGTGTTGGGTTGTAAAAGATCAGGTGCTGTTGTGGCTCTGCAGCTCTCTCATCTCCACTGTTCTGTGCTAAGAAATGTGTTTGGGTCTTGATACACAAAGTGCCTGCACCCAGTGTAGAGGTGCTGCTTTAAATTGTTCTTTAGCAACAAAGGAGCAGAGCTCTGATTTTTCCATAGTTTTGAGCTTTTGCTCATGAACAAATATCAAGCAACATGTTTGGATATGGCATTAATTGTTTCTCCTGCTAACCTGAGTGTTCTGTTCTTGTGGAAGTCAGGAACAGGTGGGAGGAATGAGATGAGGCAGGATCAAGAAGACAAAGTGTTTCATTAACCATTTAATGAGATTCTTTCTTCCTTTTTGTACCTTCTCCTGTAGCCAACTCCCAGAAAGTGACTTGATAGGAAACAGATTCGATGAGCATGACTGGGACAAGATTTCAAACATCCATGTGAGTTGGGGGCTCAGCTGCTTTATTGCTTCTGATATCTGGGTCCTTCCTCTTGAGAATCCCTGATCTGGTTTGCATCCAGTGTTTCCATCTTGCATTTCTCCAAGCTGACTGTTAAGTGATCTCAAATTGTTAAATTTGGTGATTTAATTCTGGCAAACTTGGCAGTAAGACATACTTGGAATGCAAAATACTGATTTTCCTTTTGTCTAGGTGTCTTAACCCCACCTAGGAGACTAAACATATTTTTGTTGGTTTTTTAGTTTGATGGACAACGCAGCTCAGAGGAACTGAGGAAGTTTTGGCAAAACTGGGAACATCCAAGCATCAACAAAGAGGAATGGACTGAGGAGGAGCTGGACAGGCTGAAGCAGATTGCTGCTGAGCACAACTGCCTGGACTGGCAGAGCATTGCCCAGGAGCTGGGGGTAAGGTCTGAGCTGGCTACTGGGTTCACTCTGGCTTTACTTTGCCTCTTGTCAGGTTTAAAACACAATGTTAATACTAATTCAGTGTTAATTAATGCTTTGTGATGAGTGTCCAAGAACAGTACCAAAAAGGTTTGGTGCTTTAGCTTTTCCCTCTTGCTTTTTGTTCTCATAAATAACTAATTACCTGCTTCTCTCTGTTTTCCTTGTATTAAGACAAACAGGACACCTTTCCAGTGCTTGCAGAAATACCAACTCTATAACAAAGATTTAAAAAGGAAAGAGTGGACCAAGGAGGAGGATCAGATGCTTTTAGAGCTTGTTCAGGAGATGAGAGTGGGGAGCCATATCCCATACAAGAAAAGTAAGTGGCCCACAAGTGACAAACCTTTCATTCACCTGGAATGTTTCACTCTCCCAGTTTCTTTTCCTTGGTGGACTCTGCCTTTCCTGTTTCATTATATCAGCAAGAACTTCATATCTCTTGGAACCTTTATCTATACTGGGAATTTGGCTGAAACTGGCAGAGCACCATTTCTTAAGATTTAACTGCTGCTTATGGCAATCACTGCAACTGTTTTCCAGATAAAGAAAGAAGCATTAATTACAACAGATTTAAATAAGCTTTTTAATTTCTAGTTGCTTATTACATGGAAGGAAGAGATTCTGCTCAGCTGATTTACCGCTGGACAAAGAGAGTGGACCCCAGCTTGAAGAAGGGACCCTGGACACCAGAGGAAGATGCTGTAAGCTCCATTCTATGGGCCTGGAATTGCAGGGGGGGAGTGTTGGAGTGCTGAGGAGTTGGCATGGCTGTAAATCTGAGCTTGAGGAGTGTGGAACAGACCAAGGTGGGCACTCCAGCTCAGGAGCGCTTAGAAGCTCCTAAACAGTTTTGTCCAGAAATTTGCACAGGAAACAAACAGAACTGCTGCTGTCTCAGGCCTGTTAGGGTTGATCCTGGTGAGGATTTCAGCTCTTGCTCTGCCTGCACAGATGCTGATGGCTGCAGTTAAGAAGTACAAGGAGAAGGACTGGTACAAAATCCGGAGGGAAGTGCCGGGCAGGAGCGACGCCCAGTGCCGGGACCGGTGAGTTCAGGCCAGGGAACATCCTCCCTCAACAAGGGAAATGCTGGGTTTTTCAGTCTTGGAGGGCAGGGATGGTCTGATTTTTACAAGCAGGACTGAATGATGCTGACTGTAATGTTTTCATTTGGAAGGTATGTGAAAGCATTGCACTGGGATTTAAAGAAAGGCAAGTGGAGCTTGGAGGAAGAGGAGCAGCTGATTGAACTGGTTCAAAAGCATGGCCTGGGTAGGTGTTTCTGTGGCTTAATCTTTAGAGGTGTCATTGAGGTTTTCCCTTCTTTCATTGTAAGCCCTGCAGCCTCTGCTTTGTAGTGATGATTGCAGCTTCTCTCTATTGTGTGCTGTGGATATGAGATCCATTCATGCAGTAGCTCTGTCTCTTATCCATGGAAATGTATAACAAGTGTGTAATGGCTGCATTGAAAGGTCTGTTGCTCAGTTTGTGGCACAAATAAAAATGTTCTGCATCCTCTGCATCCTTTTCAGGTCGCTGGAGTAAAATAGCTTCAGAGCTGCCCCATCGGACTGGTGCCCAGTGCCAGAGCAAGTGGACAGTCATGATTGGCTCTAAGGTATTGTGGGAATCCTGCTATGTCACAGCCCCATCTCTTCAATTAAGTTTCTCTAAACTAAAAGTGCAATCCTAAAAGTGAAATCAATAAAAAAATTGACATTGATTTCACACAATCAAGGTTTTTTTTGTGGATTTCACAGTTTAACTTTTTGGTGGGTAAAGCAGTGTTTGTTCTGAAGGGCTGAAGTTAATTTGTTGTATATTTATATATTATCTAGAATCCTTTCCTGCCTTGAAATGCCAGTAAGAATGGGATATATGTAGGTTTTCGTGTCTGTACCTCATGACTTGCCAGTTTTGATCCCAGGCACTCAAGAAATTCTGGCTGCTTAAAACCATATTAAAGATGGTTTTGTTTCCTTTGGAAAAGGAAACTTCCTGCTTTGAGAGAGTTGCAAGCCAGGAGTGAACACTGACTAAAACTTGTGTGTGCTTGTTTTGATCAAGAGGAAAAGATCTGGGGCAGCCAGACGGCGCCACGCTGAGGAGAGCTCCAGCCCCTCAGAGAGCAGCAGTGATGATGAGGAGCTGGAGCTGGAGCTGGAGCTGGCAAACAACTCAGAGGAGGAGAATGTGACCATGGGAAAGGAGAAGTTTGCAGTGCCCAGCATTGACCTGTGGATACCAACAGGGACAGACAAACAGGAGACAAGCAGAGAGGGAAACCAGATCCAGTCCCTCCTGTCTGCTGCCAGGCCTGGCACAGGGAGCAGCTGCAGTGAGGTTCCAAGGGCAGGGTGTGATGGAGACAGAGCTGCTGATAAACCATCTGAGCTGAACACTGTGCTCATGGGCATTGCAAATGCCTGCTCCACAGATGTGCTGGTGAGGAATCCAGCAGAAGTGATGGCCAAGGTGAGCTGGGATGGGGGCTTGGATCAGCAGTTGGGAGGGAAGTGCAGCTGCTGCAGTAAGGGCAGGATGTGATGAGCAGATAACATCTTGCTGTTCATTCCCTTGTGGTGTTAAGTCAAAAAACATGAAGGTAATTACCCAGTAAATTCTGGTTTTTGGTAGATCCTTCACACAAAAGCTTCTGTGAAATAGGCATTTTACAGAATTGATGTTGTGATGATGCACAAGGATTAAAAGGGAAGGTCTCCAGAGTTGATTTCATTTAGTAAGATACCTTCAACAGCAGCAGTGTTGAGAACTTTTACCTGCTGTGCATATCCAGTGCAAGTCATTTCCTTTGACTTTTCCTTCTGTATTTTCTTGTGTTCTTTCATCTTTAGGCTTCCCAGTGTGGGAAGCACGTGCTGCGGGTTAGCCTGGAGGAGGTGAGGACAATACTGAGGAACAACACGAGCTTCCAGAGGAAACTGGTGAGTGCCTCTTGTGTCTTGTCTGCTCTTGTGACATCAGCACTGCCAGGCTGTGCTTAGGAGGAATTTATTTTTATATAATCACTGTATTTCCAAGAGGAAAAGCTCACAGTTTTTTGTCCTGACTGCCCTGTGAGTTGTTTGTCCTGGGACTAATGGCAGAATCTTCCTAACGGGAACTCTTAATTGTGTATTTTTCATGCATGGCAATGAAAGATGCTGAGACCTGCCAGGCTTTTGGCCATGCCCCCTGGAGTGGGTGCAGCTGCTGGCCAGGATGCCCAGGAGGTGCCCAGGAGAGCCTGGCGCTGGAACAGGGAGCACTGGAGGAGGCTGAACCTGGACAGGAAGCTGCTGATGGCAGTGACCCCATGGATGGGCAATGTGTTGCTGCCCCGCAGCCTGAGGGCTGGCACCATGGGCTTCTACCACACAAAAGGTACTGGGGGCCCATCCTACCTCTGTCCCTATTTTCTGATCTCTCCTGAGTGATTTCCCAGCTGATTTTGTTGTTGGATTTCTTCCCAGCTGCTGCTATTCATGAGAAGGTGAAGTCAATGAGTCTCAGCAGCACTCCCCTGTTTGCACTGCTCATTCAGGTGAGCTTTACTGTCTTTATAGCATTACCTGCTTTCAAACAGGGGGAGTCTTTATTTTTCAGTATTTGAGGCTTAAATAAATGGTTTAACTTTGTTTCTTAAACAAATAATCTGATTATTGGACTAATCTGCCCTCATGGTTTGCACATGAAGTTTCTTAAATAAGTCCTGCATCCAAAGTCTGGTCCTGCCAGGGCTTTTTCTGCAAGTGTAAAATTTCCCCAGAATCTTGCATGTGGAGCATGTCCCATCTGTCTTGCTTTGTCACTGACCCCAGCAATACATTTTTGTTCTCATTTGAATGTTAATGAAGCTCTCACCTTGCAGCTCCTCCAGATTGATACCAAGGGCTGTATGAGGATTATTAAGGAGAGGAACCTGAGGCACTTGGAGCTGCTTAAGGCTAATGCAAGGAGCCCTCAGCAGGTATTGTGGTTTTAAGCTTTCCCCAATGAAATCTTGACTAAAATAAGCACTTTTAATTGTGTGGCCACACAGTTTATACGTGTGTTAGCTGTTTTGGTTCAGAGGCAGAATCAAATGCTGGCTCTGTTTGTTCAGGAGGTGGGTTTGATTCACATCTGTGCTGTTTTAATCATCTTTAAATCTATCAGAAGTATAATTTAATATACCTTTGTTTTTACAGGCTTCCCAAAATACAGAGACGACTTCAGGTACCTACCAGAACATTTATTTTTGTGATGTGCAAGAACTTTCCCATAATTCATCACTGTTACATTAATAACCAGTTTAACTGAAGGAGAGCTTTGAGGGATAAACATGCATTGTCATGCTCATTTTTGCTAGATCTTGGATCTTTAAGCATGTTCCCCTTTGGTAAGGACTGGAAAAAACCCTGCAGGGCTGGGGAACCAGTGGCTCTGGACCAGTTCAGTGGGTGTTAGGGTGCATTCCTGGCCCATCTCTGATTTCTGGGGGCAGTTACCCCTTGTTGGGATGTGGCTTGATTAAATCAGGACTGTAGTGTTGTAGGAATTCTCACAAACAGGAATTCTGCCACATTCCTTGATGTTTAATGAGAAATGGCTTTTGGAAATGCTGTTCATTCATTGTCATTTTATCCTCTGCAGGAAACTCATCCCAGGCTTGTTCTCAGAGGAATTCCCAACAGGGCATCCCCAAGAGTGCTGTCAGGAGATCTGCCTTGAGGGCACGGGCCAGCCCCACTGGAGCCTTGGAGAGCTGGGCCCCAGCTGTGCTGGGAGCTCCCCCAGCCCTGGGCCAAAGGCACAGGGTGAAAACTGTCTCAGAACTGCTGCAAGAGAAGCGTTGGAGGAGGGTCCAGGCCAGGGCAGCCATGCAGAGGACAGTGCTGGTTGCCCCACAGGTGCTGGTTTCAGGGCCTTTGATCATCCAGCACCCAGCACAGCAAATCATTCCCTGTGCACCAGCAGGGAGCTCACCTGCAGCTGCTGCTGGGACACACAGCCAAGTACAGGGTTCAGCAATGCCCACAAGGACTTCAGCTGCAGGTTCTGCTCCTGTGCCTCAAAACCATTCCTCTGCAGTGCCAGAAACTGGGGAGAGCTCTGGCTGCCCACAAGGGACAGATCTACAGTCAAGTAAGGAACTTCACAAAAAGGAAGCTCTGGGAAGCAGCCCTGAAGGAAGGGTTTCTCCAGCTGCAGCAGAGAAGGCCCCAGACCAGGGAGGGTGCAATGGTCAGGGCACAGCCAGCAGCTCAGCTTCAGCAGTGTTGCACAACCAGGCTTTTGTGCCTCACCAGATCACAGTGGTGGCTCTTGGCCTGGAGTCTGGCACCAATAAATTGTCCCTTTCCACACCAGTCACCAGTGAGCTGGAGAGGAACAGCCCACAGCAGAGGCCAGTCAGCCTGCTGCCTGCTCTGGTCACTCCACAATCTGCTTCTCCTGTGCTTCCCAGCAGCATCCTGCCCTTCAAGTGGGTTGTGACCCCCCAGGGTCTGCTCCCCAGCACTGTGCAGGCTGTGCTGGGTGTTCCCCAGGGATCACCAGCTGCTGCTGGGGGATCCCAGGCTCAGACAGCTGTGACTTCCAATGGCAATGTCTCTGCTTTGGGAGGGACTCCTGTAGCAGCTGAAGCAAATCCACCTCACCCCAGCAGTGCAGAGACAAAAGGACCAAGTTCCCAGCTGGCAGGAGCTCCTTTGGGAAAGGCAGCTGGCCAGTGCACCCATCTCTTACCTGTGACCCCAGTGAGTGCTGGATGCATCACATGCAGCATTTCTGCTGTAACCCCTGCATGTTCAGATGGCTCCTCCATGGCTCCAGACTCCTGTGCAGCTCCAGCTGCCAGCCCAGCCCTGTGGGCTGTGCTGCTGCCCCAGCCCCCTGCCAGCACCCAGGGCTCTGACTGCCAGCCTCTGCCCAGTCTCACCAGCTTGGGAAGGAGCAGTGGCTCCATCACACCAAAGGGATCATCCTCCAGGGCAGGCAGCAGCAGGAGAAGGGCTGTGCACTGGCCAGGAGCTGCAGCTCCTCACAGCAATGTTCCAGGGAGCTCTGCCTGCTCTGGTGCCCAGGCCCTGAGGAACAGACCCATTGCCTCCAAACCACCAAGCACTGACGTCCCCCCACAGCCAAGCACCTCCCATGCACAGAAGAATCTCCTTGACTTCAGCCTGATCTCCCTGGAGGACCAGGGGCTGGTGAAGGAGTGGCTGAGTGGGAAGCAAGGGGTTCAGGTGCCACCACTGCAGACCAGGCTGCCTTATCTGCCCCCTTTCCTCTGCAGCATAAAAACCCTGTCAAGGCTCCTGCTGCAGAAAGCAGCTCTGGAGGTGCAGGCAGCCTCTCTGCTGGCCTCTGAGGCCAGTGGGGATGGGGGCACTGGGGATCTCTTCCATGCTATTGGAGAACTGGTGCAGCAGAAACTGGGTGATAACCCTGCTTACCTCCTGCTGAAAGCCAGATTCCTGGCAGCCTTCACCCTCCCAGCTGTCCTGGCAACTCTGTCTCCTCCCAGAGTGACAACGACTGTGTCAGCCGGGAATCAGCTTGAGGAGAGTGAGGAGGAGGAGTGGCAGAGTGAGAACCCAGTGTTGAAGGAAGAGAGCTGTGGGAATGAATTCACAGGAGTACAGGAGGACTGGAGACTTGGGGATGAGCCTGGAGATGAAGATGCTGATTTACTAAATCAGGTAAAACAGATTCCAGGGGCAAAAAGCAGAAAATTACTGCCAGATAAATATTGCACTGCAGTCCAGGGGGAAGCCCCTGCTGTTCTTAAGTGTAGCAGAAATTTGGTCCTTTTGAATAAACACAGTTCTGCAGCTGCTGAAAGGAAAAGCTCTGCAGCTCAGCTGGCAGGGTGAAATCCCATGGTTTAGGTAGCACCTTACACTTGCCATGACAGTTCCCAGAAAAGTATCAAAGCTCCCTTCCCCTTTCTGTTTAGAATCTGCTCTTGCCTTTTTGAAGTCAGGCCTTTGTTTTCACTCTGTAAACTGATGTTTTGTGCCTTCTCTGACACTGGCAATGCAATGTTGTCCCATGCATCATGAAAGGTTGTTTTAGAAATGTTGCTGAGCTCCCTAAATCAGGAAGGTGGCTGAAGGGGTTGTTTGTAATTCTCGTGGTGTTGATCATCTCCTGCTTCTGTTGCAGGACATGGGGGCTGAGGAGAGCCCTGCTCAGTCTGCCTTGGGCTCCTGCACTGCTGGGGCTGATGCCAGAGCTCCCCAGAGCAGGAGAAGTGCTCGCTTCAAGAAGAGGAGGAGGACATGAGAAGGAGATGTGTTAGTAGCTCCTCAGTGGTTTGTACATCTTGCTGAGAAGCTGAACCACGTTTGTCTGTGGTTCAGCTCAGACAGTGACTCATGACCCCAGGAAAGGACTGAAATGATCTCTGCTCCTGTTCCCCAAGGACACAGAGTTCTGCAGTCACCACCAAGCACAGCCTAAGGCTGATAATATTTTGGGGAGAGGGAAAGTTGATGTCTCTACAATAAAATTATATATAAACTCATGAAATTCAAATATTTGGCAGCCTTTTAGTTCATGCCCTGAACCCTACTTAGTATGCACCTAGTTGGTTGCACTCTACAGGCTTGACAGTGGAGTTTTTCCTTAGTACCTCATTTTTGAGCAGCCTGGTGGGGTTTGGGGTTTATTTCCCCCATTTGGCTTCATTTCTGTGCAGTTATAACAGATCACCTTCTGCAGGGTACAAATGGCTGATGTCCTGATACCTGCTGAGGCTTTTGGTGCACTGAGTGGAATGAACATGAGCAGTGTTTGATTCACGTGGTGATCAGATGAGACTGGCTGGAGATTATTTTTTTTTTTTCTTGAAAATTCATTTTAGGAACTCCAAAAGGGCAAGTTCTCTGTAAAAACGTGTGACTGATAGGAGCTGTTTGTGCTTTGTTACAGGGGTCATGGAATGAGCTCTGCCTTCTCCTCCATGGCAGGAGGAGATAATCTTTGCACTGTTCACCTTTTCCACTTCCAGTGATGACTGGATGGACCTGGGGAAGACAAAAATGCTGGATTGATTTTCCCATCCCTCAACAAAATCTGCATCTGTAGGCAAGGTTTAAAAAGGATAGATTTCCCTCCAGCCAGTTTCTTTCAGGCACAGACTCCTGCTCTTTCAAACTCCCACCTGCCATAGATTCTGAAGGGGAATATTGCAGGAAATGTGGGGAAACAAGCAATGGTGGTTATTTATTTCTTCTTGTGTTGTTTATGTGAATGCTTATCCATGTTCAGAATATGTTAATTGGGTGGTTTTTAGTGCTGTGACAGTGGCTTTGCTTGGTAACTGACTGAATACTGTGGAATAAGCAGCAGATTAATTTTGTATCAAAATGACTCTTAAGTATTTGTTGAAATACAGATGTTTTATTTTTCACACTTAAAAATTACTGATGTATTCTGTGTGGGTTTTTTTCCCTGGTAAATAGTGCTTTTAATAATGTGTGTATGAGAGTGATTGCTAATGAGAAAATGAAGTTTTCAGGCTGCATGAAAACCAGGGAAAATAGGGGAGATGAATATTCATGTGCCTAAAACTGCAGGATTGAATTAGGATTCTTCCTTGATTCTTCCACAGCCTGCCCTGTACAGACATCACAAATCACTTTAAAAAAACTTGTTTCTTCATTTATAACCCAGCAATTTCTGTCTCACAGAGAGGTGCAAGGTTAGCTGAGGCAAAGCTGATAAAATCTAGAGGGAAAGTGCAGTGAAAGCTTCATTGCACTGCACTGACTGAACTCCCCTGAGTCTGGTGGGGAGTTGGGATTTGAGCTTTTCCACGAGGGCTCTTCAGGCAGAGCTGGGGGCAGAGGGGCACTGGGTGCCTGTGTTGCTGTAATTTGGTGCCAAGACTTTATGGAGCACAAGGAATGATTGTGGAAGGCTCTCCTCTTGCAGTGTACTCTGTTTTCCATAAGCCACTCCAGATAGCAGTTTTCCAGGAAATTCAGCTGTGGCAGAGTTGTGGGTCTGTGCCCAGGCTGTTACAGTGAGGCACTGGTGGGAAAGGTGAGCTGTGCTCTAAATGATTGTTGGCCTTTGCAAATGCTGCTGAAAGACGCCCTTGTCATTTATTTGTGGGGGAAATGCGTAAGCAGCAGCTGGCTTTGTCCTTTTTCAGGATTAAATTGATTTGTCACTGGAATAACACCTCCCCAGGCTAAACTGGTGAATTAACAGACACACTGATTACCTCCAGCAAGGGCACAGCTGACACAGGTACTGCATCTTTTTTAGTGTAAAGCTAATTTAATGACAAGAAACACAGGCTGGAAGAATCTCTGAGCATCTCTGCCCTACTCCTAATGATGAGATGGAAAAACTCTCCATAAACTTAGAAAGCAGAACAAAGAGGGGAGTGGGAAGCTAACGGGAACATGTGTCATGCTGCCATGGCATCAGAGCCTGTGTGCTCTCCAGGCTTTCTTTAAAAAACACTGAGTGAGTTCTGAGTTCAGCTCCAGGGCTGAGGGAAGGGGGGAGGCAGGCTCAGGTCTTCTGGTGATGCTCAGCATCATCACAATGGCATTATCAGTGTTATCACATAACCCAGCTGCTCCTTTGCTGCTGCCATGGCCACAGGCTCTCATTTGGGAATCAGGGGTGATGTTCCTTTCTCTGCCGGGACTTGATTCCCTTCCCCTTTCTTGTTATAATTATGCTGGAAGCTTGAGGACTTCCAAAACTAGAGGCATTAATGTAGCAATCACCCTTTTCAGCTGAAGAGACCTGTGTCTAAACTGAGAGTTCTTGCTGCCACCTGTTTTCCTGGAGAAGATGTTAACAGCTGGAAAGCCTTTCAAAAGCCTCTTCTAATTTTGTGGCTTGTTTTGTCCCCTGCAATCAGCTGCACACACCTATGGCTGTGGCTTCCATTCTTTTTAGCCTTTCTGACCACTGCACAAGGAAACTTTCTGGACCCCAGCAGGTCCTTCAGTGGGACAGATTAGAAAACAAAACCAGAATTAATTTAAAATCACTGCTTATGTGTTGCTGCTGACTCACAATGCCACTACCATCTTTCTCCTCCCCCCTCACCCATTCTGGCTTCTGCTTTTCTTATTTATCTCTCTTTTTCTTTTCCTTCCCTTTCCTGTCTCAGGGTATAGCTGAGTAGTTTCCCCTTTTTTCTCAACCCAGTTTTGTTCCTGGAGTTATCTTTTCTCTAGTCAGAGTACAGAGGGAGGCTGCATGCAAGACAGGTTTCCTCAGAGCCAGGACACAGGAGGAGAATCAAGGAAGCTTTTGTGACTGCAGAGGTGAAGGTTGGTGATACAGAATGGCAGATATTAACAGGGAATAAAAGTTTATTTCACAGCTCTGTGGGTGTTAGATTTGGTGTCTGTGTGGTCAGACAGAACACAGGGATCTCACATGCTGGGAGGTGGAGAAGGAAGAGTGAGCTGCTCGTAAGGCAGAGGCAACAGCTCATGAGGACACTTCTGCATTGTCAGTGCTGACGTCCTTGTTTTCAGCACCACCGCTCCGAGAGCCTCAGGGGCTGCTTGGTTGGGTTTTGGTGTTTTTTTCTAGACAGGACAACGCTGCTCACTGATCCCCTCACTGCTGACATGCTGGAGGAGGATAACGATGAGATCTGCTGGAATAACCTGGAGAACTTCCGCGTGAAGCTGATCTCGGTGATCGAGCCGTCGCGGATCACGCCGTACCTGCGGCAGTGCAAAGTGCTCAGCCCTGACGATGAGGAGCAGGTGCTCAATGACCCCAGCCTGGTCATGCGCAAGCGGAAGGCAGGTGGGAGCACTTCCAATCCTCCTGGGGAGTTTCCAGGCCATTGGTTTGGGATTGTCTGGGGAGTCAGGCACTGGAAGGGCTGCCCTAGGAGGTGCTGGTGTCACCCACCCTGGAGGTGTTTAAACAAAGCCTGGATGTGGCACTTGGTGCCCCATGGTCTGGTGGTTCAGTCATAGACTTAATGATCCCAGTGGTGTTTTCCAACCTAATTTATTCTGTGAGTGGATCCCAGGGACTTTTGTATGTGGAGGAAGTGAAGCCTCCACATACATTTTTTCTTATGTTAAAAACAGGTGAAGAGAGAAATAACTGAACAGAATATCCTGTTGCCATGATTTCAGGTGTTCTCCTGGACATTCTTCAGAGAACAGGACACAAGGGCTTTGAGGCATTTATGGAGAGTCTTGAGCTTTATTATCCCCAGCTGTATAAGAAAATAACTGGCAAAGAGCCCAGCAGGGTTTTCTCCATGATTATAGGTAATGTTTGTGTTCCCAACATCAGCTTTTCCTTTGGTGCTGCTGAGCAGAGCCAGGAGCATTCCCTGCCTTGCTCCATGTGTGCTTGGGAAAGGTTCTGGGAAGAACAGCCCTGGTGTCACGGGCTGGACTTGGGAGGGGGACAAGGAAGCAGGAGGATGAATTCTTCCTTCTGCCTGTTGTGTGGTGCAGGAAGGCACAGAGCAGAGAGGCACAGCGGGGATAATTTGCTCACACACCATCAGGGTTGGCTGCAGTGACGTGCAGGGGAAGCCGAGCTCTGTGTGTGCCTTGGCAGCAGCCACGAGAGCAGAGAGTGACCCCTGTCCCCCACACAGACACGGCTGGCGAGTCTGGCCTGAGCCAGGTGCTGATGAACGAGATCGTGAAGCTGCAGAGCGCGGTGCAGGAGGAGCGGCGCAAGGCGCAGGAGCTGGCGGGGTGGCTGCACTCCAAGGAGGACACGCTCAGGGAGATGTGGGTCAGGGACAGCCTGCTCCGCAAGCACCAGGAGCGCGCCCAGAGGATGAAGGAGGAGAGGGACAGCCTGAGCAAGGAGCTGCGCAAGTGCAAGGACGAGAACTACAGCCTGGCCCTGAGCTACGCCAAGCAGAGCGAGGAGAAGAGCGCGGCCCTCATGAAGAACAGGGACCTGCTGCTAGAGGTCAGGCACAGCTCCTCCAGCTTCCCTCTCTCACCTGGGCTGAGCACCTTGTCTTTGCCAAGGATGCTCCAGGCCAGCATGAAGCACTGAGCATCTTTTCTAGAACGTGTCTTTGTGGTCCCCAGCTCAGCCCTGTAGGCCTGAATTTAACAAGCTGTGCTGCGAATGATGACCAGTCTTGCCCTCACTCAAGGCTGCTCTCATAAAGGCAGCACAGGAACATGTCCCTGTTAGCACACAGGACTCTGGCCCCAGGGCACAAAACTTCCTGAGGAAAACAGCTGGGGAGAAACTTGCCCTGGGTTTGGCCGGGGAACTGAGAACTGGTTTTGCAGGCCAGAGCTCTCTCCTTGCTCCTGCTGAGCTCTGAACCTTCTCGTAGATCGATCAGCTGAAGCACAGCCTCATGAAGGCTGAGGATGACTGCAAGCTGGAGAGGAAGCACACCATGAAGCTGAAACACGCCATAGAGCAGCGCCCCAGCCACGAGGTGGTGTGGGAGATCCAGCAGGAGAAGGAGCTGCTCTTGGCCAAGAACCAGGAGCTGGAAAACACTCTCCAGGTTGGTGGAGTATGGACTCAAGGGATTATTTGCAGCAGCCAGGGCAGCCATGCTGCCGTGAAGATTGTGGGGATCAGCTGTTGCCCAAGAGCCCTGAGCGGAAAGAACTGATAGAGAGTTAGATGGGGGCCCTGTCTCACTTCTGCCTTTGTCCTGCAGGTAGCCAGGGAGCAGAACTTGGAGAAGAGCCTCTCCAAGGAAACTCTGGAGAATGACTGCAGCCAGACCGTGGAAGAGCGCCGGGAGCTGGTGAACACCATTTACAGCCTGCGCAAGGAGCTGCGCCGGGCCAAGGTGCTCCAGGACAAAGTAGGTGCTGCTGTTCCAGTCCCTGCTGGGGCTCTGGATCACACAGGACAGGCAGGTGAAGCCCCTGCAGTGTCCTGCCTGTGGAGCAGAGCACCTGCTCAGGAGCAATCCCTGCTGCTCCTGCTGTATTTCAGCACTCTGTGTGGGGCAGCTGGCAGCTCAGACACCCCATGGAGCTCTGTGGCACAGAGCAGGAGTGGGGACAGTCTGGCTCAGGCTCTGCACACAAGCAGGTGCTTTTGACCTTGTCTCAGCAGTTTGCAGAGGAGAAAGAGGTGCTGGAGCTACAGTGCACATCTCTGAGGAAGGACTCCCAGATGTACAAAAAGCGGATTGAGGCTGTCCTGCAGCAGATGGAGGAAGTAGCTTTGGAGAGAGACCAGGTGATAAAATATCCCTCGCTGCTTTTCACTGCTTTTTGGGCAGAAATGCCAGGCTGTGTGTGCTGTTGTGTGACTGCCCCATTTCCCCTGCACAGGCTCTCCTGACCCGGGAGCAGTTCCACATGCAGTACTGCAAGAACCTGGTGGAGAGAGACGCCTACCGCAAGCAGATCCGCGAGCTGGGCGAGAGATGTGACGAGATGCAGCTGCAGCTCTTCCAGAAGGAGAGCCAGCTCCTGGCCACGGAGGCCAAGCTGAAAAGGCTGCAGCTGGAGCTGCCCACTCTGGTATAGCTCTCCTGCCCTGGATGGATTGGGAAGCTGAGGATGGGGTCACACTGTGGCTGTTCCCAGGCCTTGTGCCTGAGCAGCTCCAGCTCATCAGGCAGTGAACACTTCCCTGAGCCACCACCAAAATTAATTAAAACCATTGCCATGCAAATGCTGAGCTTAAAAAATGAAAGATGTGATGGTCTCTATCACTCCACCCTGGTTTCAGGCCTGGAAAAGCTGGACAGATGCAAGCTCAGGCCACTTGTGTTTGTGTTTGGAGCATTTCCAAAGGTGGTGAGGGGTTCCTCATCCACCACACAGTGACTCTATTTAAAGACTGGGTGTGAGCCATTTGGATGAAATGGGGAGCTAAGTTTTCTGGAACTAAATTAGGTATATTTTAATTAATATGTCATCGTGTGTACTTTCTTGAGTGTCCAGACAGGAGTGTAGGAGTTGTGTGTTTTGTGGAGCTCTAAGTCTCCTCCTTGCTCATGAGGAATGATCAATCTATACTGGTTTTGTTTCAGACCTCTGACCTGGATGACTCCTCCTCCAGAGATTCCCAGGAAGTGAGTAGGGTTCCTTGTTCACCTTTCCCTTTCCTCTGGGATGGTTTCGTGTTCCTCACCCTAGCTCCCCAAGTATCAGCAGTTTTCAATGGCTCAGGCTCATTTCAGTCCATAGGCAGCAAGACAGTGACAGAACCTCCCTGTGTCCTGAAGTTCTAAGTGTAGGACACAGTTATGGCATTAGTCAGCAAGATTTGTTGAGTCTAAGCAAATCAAGGGAATTGAATTATTTTTAAATTGCTTTTAATTGGCTCTCTTGTGTGAGAACAGGCAAAAATAAGTCTTACCCTGGAGCCACCTGTAGTAAAGAGTTTCACTTAGTTCATAACTTCAGTGAGGGAGCAATTGTCACATTGTCTGGAGGCCAAAAGTACAAATGAGGCCAAAGGAAGCTGGATCTATTCATGGAGGAGAAATCTGAGCAAATCTGTAACTCCTGGCTCAATGTGCTGTTTGCTGGCAACAACAGGGAGAGAGAGGTTGGTTCTAGCATGTCCTGGGTTTTATGTTCATTATCTAGGGACAGTTCTGATGTTCTTGCTCTGTTTTCTGCCCCACAGCTTGTTCTTCACACTAACCTGGATGAAGATACACAGACAGCTAAAAGTAAGGGGAAAATATTGAGTAGAGCTCTGGAGAGGATGGTCCATTCTGTTTTGCTCTCCTGGAAGATCTAAATGATCTTTTCATTCATTGAGATGGGAGAATTTTCACTAAAACTAAACAGCACTGATCCAAAAAGGCATTTTTTATTATTCTGCCTTGCTCAGTCCAAAAATATCTATTGTAACACCTGGTCACTACAGGAGTTTCACCAAAATAGGATCTGGTGTGAAGTGCCATGATATTCACAACTTGGGGAGCAGGGACAAATGATGGATAAATAATGATTAACACATTTCTCACAGTGGCCTCAGAGAAGCTGCTTGGCAAAGGTTTGTTTGGCTCCTGCTGAAGCTGGAAGTGGAAAGCTGTGTCTCTTTCTGAGGGAGGTGGGGAACTCCACCATCCTGGGGAAGATTCAGGGCTCAGTTAAAATGAGAAGTGACTTGTGATGGATGACAGGATGGAGCTCTGAGTGCTTTGGGTTTGGTTTCAGTTCTGCTGGGGACTCTGTGCAGTTACATCACAGCTCTTCAGTTGGAAGAACTGCTGGAGGGAGAAGTTACTTTGCAATGGCAACTCTGACTAAAGCTGTGATTTTTTTATCTTTCAGAAGATTGCCTGGAAGTACAAAGCCAGGAACTCAGCCCTCAACAGAGCCATCTGCCCCCAAAATCACCAAGTGTAAGAGAATCTTTGTGGGCTCTTCTTTACTATGACTGGGGTTTGTGATCTTTAATATTCTCATTAGTGATGGATTTACCAGCTTGGAGAAGCATGTCAGCGGCTCCTGCTTTTCCAAACTCTGAGCACTTTGTGCAGATCCACCCTCCAAAAGGGCGAGCTCTGAACAGCAAAACATTTACAGTGGACATTTCTTCATCTGTGTATAAAAACTTTTTCTAATTACTTTCTGCCCTTCATCTCTGGGTGGGGATGTTTTCCAGTGTAATTACCGCCAAATTACTGTTGCTGCAGAAAACAGACTCCCAGAATTACACATGTTGAAGGAATAAATGTAGTAAACTGTATGAAACAGCAGCATTACCACTCTGCACACACTAGTAGGGAACTTGCTGGTACTTGACTCTGCAGATGCAGGAAGCAACCTGGTGTTAGCACTGATCTGATCAAGAATAAATTCATATGTTTTTAGGTTTTTTTTGTTTTTTTCCATTTCAAGGAGTGTGGCTTGGCCAACGAGGAACTGGCAGAAAAGGAGAGGAGGAGGATGAAGGACTGCTTTGAGCGTTACCGAAGGTCTGGGCTGCAGTAAGCAGGGCTGACCTGGAAATATCCATGATTTGTATTTGTGTATCCATGTATTTGTATTTGTATTTCCCCTTTCCTGTCCCCAAGCTTGATTCACGGAGTGCATGAAATGAGCCACAAAGGGGACCGATATGTACTAACAGCATGAAATGCCACTTGTTTGCAGAAAGCACCGTCTGAAAGTTGTATATCTGGTATTGTTTGCAGGAAACACCTTCTGAAAGTTGTATATCTGGTGTTGTTTGCAGAAAAAGAGCAATGAGAAGGGTGCCCAAAGACCAGCACCATGAGGCGGATTGGGAGAACACGTCTGGCAGTGACAACACTGACACCGAGGGCTCCTGAGAGAAGGACAACACCAAAATCCCTTGGAAAGGGACACCATGGACACCAAAGGCTCCTCAGGCGCCAGTCACTGAGGGAAACACCAGTTTCTGCAGGCTGCCTGTGTCTCTCCGTTTCACTCACAACGGACTGTTTGGATTCTAAAACCATCCAAACACCCATTTATGAAACGCGCTGCAGTGACACTATTGTATGGCTGTGACGGCCCCTCGGTCAATAAACAGGTTTGAATGCCAGCATGTGACACAGGGCCGGGCTGAGCTGCTTAATTACGGGTTAATGAAGGGCACTGCCCGACACCGCCATGGCGGCATTGCCCGCACCCAACATGGCCGCCGCTGCCT